CCGCGCGGTGGTGTTGACCCGGTTTTTGTTTTTTGTATTTTTTTTTTTTTTTTTATTAGACATTCACCCCCCCCCCCCCCCCCCCAAAGCCCCTAACGGTGTGAGGATGATCAATTAAAGGATCATGCTGACGACATATGTCTGTTGCAGAGGCTTCGAACCAGGCTGCTAAGGCGAAGTGAGTAAGTCTGGAGAAATTAGGATAGCGGAGATATCGAAGGACGTGTTGGGACAGCATATCTGCTCCACGAGGACGAGAGAAATCCTACCGAGGATGAATTGACAACCCTGGAGGGGGATGGAGCATGAGGATCAGAGGAACTCGACAAGGCTGGCTCTTTTTGGTCATCTTGGCATTTGAGAGACTGTGAGGGCGTTTTCAGGGGCTGTGTGGGAGACAATACCCAGGAGAGGCATAGGAAAAGAAAATGACATATTGCCCCATCTCAAACTTTACTTCGCCCATGCGGTCTCGTCATGTCCTCGCTGATGTCTTGTTCAATATCCTGCTACATGCATGTCATAAGATGCTACACTGAGAGGAGGCAATCACTCATCACTACCAATTGACGCCTCCGCCGCGCCCATCCTTTCCATCCCACATCGCGACATCACCGCCGCCACCACCACCCTTCCTCCGCCCCTCCCGAGCCTCCCCATCGCTCCCAAGCTCATCCTCCCCACCATCCCCGTCCTCCCTAACAAGCCTGATGACCCCGCCCCGCCGCCGCTCGCTGAGCCACCGGTCCGTCCAGGCCTTCATGCGGCGGCGCGACGGCTCGCTGCCGACGTTGACGGTCGGCACGACCTTCTCGATGCGCAGCGCCATGACGAACAGCATCAGCTCGCGGAAGCTCGAGTGCTCGCTGTACGGCACGCCGAAGCACATGGCGTCGCGCGAGCTGCCCTGCTGCGGCACCAGGTCGCGGGGCCCGAACCGCGTGCGCCACGCCGGCCCGTGCAGGATGTGCGCCGTGGGGACCGAGCTGGGCGGCATGTTGGCCGTCACCTGCGCGGCGCTTCCCCCACCACCACCAGTGGGGGCCTTGCCTCCCGCACCACCGCCGGAGCCGACGCTGCCGTTGTTGTTGGCCAGGCTCGGCCGGTAGTTCCACCCGCTGGGGCGGAAGCCGACGACGCGGCCAAAATGCGGGCGGTTCGCGTCCAGGTACTCGGCGAGTGTCTCGGCGCGCAGCTCCATGAGCATCTGCATGTGCACCTGCGCCTCGGCCGGGTCGCCCGTCATCAGCGCCGCCAGCTCCGGGTCGCCCAGCTGCGAGCAGATCCGGATCTTGGCCGGAGGCGCGTAGATCTTGGTCCGCAGCGCCTGCGCTATCGCCTTGCAGATCCGCTCCTTGCCGATGCTGTATGTCCCGCACACTACTAGAAGGCGGTTGCGGTTGTCGCGCGCCTTTTGGCCTAGTGCGGTGAAGGCGTTTGGGCTCGATGGGTTGGTCTTGGTGGTGGTGGTGGTGACCTGGGAGTCCTGCTTGCTGGTGTCTGGGGAGTTCTTGTCGGCTGCGACAAAGAAACGGCTGACAGTGTCGTTGTTCCCTATCCCGCGGCCCTCGCGCCGGCGCAGTACACCGTTCCAGACTGATTCGTCCTCTGCTCGCAGACTTGTGTCTAGTTCGAGGCACAAGTTGGCTGTCGCCTGGATTACATCGGTTTGTGGCGGAAATGAGTACCGTGGGTTGAGATATGTAGTGTCGAGATAGCAGACGTCGATCTTCTGCTGCTTGACTTTACCTAGCGCATCGATAACATCCGGCTTCAATTGTGGGTGCTCAATGTGTGCTGGACATGCGCGGAAGTCGCCGCAGTGAAGGATACGCTGTATTCGTTTCTCCTTTGAGTGCGCATGTGGGTTGGGGTTTGAGACGGTTTTTTCGAAGAGGAACAGAGAACTCCCAGGGCAGTGGTTTGCAGGAATCATAGTCACAAACGCGCCATCAGTCCCTGGAATAGGCACCTTCTTCTCGAATTCCAGCTCTACCACGTATTTCTCTGCGGTCTTTAATTGGGACTTCACAAGGCTCCCTGTGACCTTGCTGCAGTATATCGGGCCGTGTGTCCAGTTCGCTGTGAGGCCAATATAGTGATCGCTGTGGAAATGGCTCAGAAAATAGGCTCGGCACCCGTCGACGGCGCCATACCGGAAAGCATCAACGCAGATGTGGAAACCAGGCATAATCTTGTAGAAAGGGCATGTCCGCTGATACGCAGGTTTTCCCCGAGCGGCGCTCTCAGCCGCTGCTGCAGTGGCCCAGGCGGCGTCTTCAGCATGCCCAGACATGAGCTTTGAGAAGGCGGTTGTGCTTCCACTGCCATCCTTGCTTGGTCCCCCGCTGAGTTCTATTGGGTTTGCCTGGCCCGGCCGCGCGACTGCGGCTCGAGCGAACCGTTTCCCTACCTCTGGCGCTGAGACCAAGTCTGTCCTCTTCTCATCTGAGACCTCTCGTTTTATATGTTTCGGTTCGGGCGAAGGCTGCTTCGTAGGCTTGGCCGATGGCAAGGGAGTAGGATTCCCATCTAGACACGAGTTTACGTGCACGGTAGCCTGGTCCGGCGTGACGCCTGAGAGGCTGCTGTTGCATATTGGACAGCTCTCGGTCATCCCATCGTCTTCCATCAGCGTCTCGAGCCCGTCATCACAAGTTGGTATTCCGGCCTCTTCAGCCTCAAGCCGGGCCTGTTCTTTGATAAACCGCATTTCGCGCAACTCTTCGCCTTCGAATAGATCATCGTCGAATTCGTCGTTCAGGCCCTCGAGGTCGGCAAAGTCTCCGTCGGTTGATGGTTCGATCTTGAGGGGCGGCGGGGAGGTTCTGGAGACTGGTTCAAGGGCAGCGGTTAGACTCGTCCTCTCCGGGTCCTTGGATGTCGTTGGCCATACTTCCTGGTTTTCCTTGCTCGGGGGTGATTGCTTGGGCTCTGGGCCGTTTGACTGGGGCGCTGATGATTTGGCAACATCTTCGGGTTCGGAGTCGGAGTCAGAGTCATCCAGGAAGGGTCCTCTCCTCGGCTTCTTTGGCGGCGGAGAAGATTTGACAGACGTCGGTCTGCCTTGTGGCTTGGGCTTGGTCGCAACTGGCGCAGCGTTCTCGTCCTGGATGTCTTCGGCAGGGCTCAATTTCCTCCTCTTGCTTGGCGCCTGGGCCTCGTTGTATCTCTCTTCCAAAACTGGATCCTCGGCGGCGTAGATATCGTCGACCTCTTGGGCGGGTTGATTTGCCACCGCGACACTAGCGTCACCACCAACGAACATGGATTCTTCGGGGCGATCAACTTTTTGGAAGAAGTTGAGGATGCTCTTGTTGGTTGTGCTGGGGCGCCTTGGGGTCTTTGGATTGGAGACTTTGGGCGCGGGGCGAGGAGCCCTGCTCGTCTTAGAGGGCGCCATGGATGGCTGGTGGGATTTGGTGGAATTGAGGATCGAGTCGAGAATCGAATGATGCGCAATGGCGGGGTTCTAGAGGGGACGACAATCTGTGGGAATGGCAGACTGGCTGGACGTCGGTCAAGTGATTGATACACATTGGTTGAAAGATGACGAGACCAGAAGAGATCAAATGTGACCAGGACGGCACAGCAGTCTCTTTCCGTCCCGCGACACAAAGAAGTCGGCCCCAAAAAGTCGTGACGACGTTCGAGGCAGACGCGAAGAGCTCGGACCACCTCTTAACGCGCAGTCACGAGGGCAAACCCCCGTTAGGAGCCTGCTCCATTCTCCTCTTCCCTCACTACGTCTCTCCTCGATCAATGCTTCACCTGTCGAGCCGATTATTTTCAGCAGTATGCGACTATCGCATCATATCATGATTAGACCAGCATCGTCGTAAAAAAAAAAAAAAGTCATGTTAAAACATTCGCAGTATATCGAACGCCTTCATGCAATCGATTGGCGGCCATTTTGGAGACCTGATCATGCCCGGCAAACAATGTTGCGATGCTGAGCTGGCTGGCGGCTGGAAGTCTATTCGACCCCAATGATCTGACCCTTGCACCTCAATTAGACTCAAAAGTTCCGCAGAGAGAAGAACGCCAATGGTAACCTGGTTGTCGATCGCCAGTAGGTATCAGGCAGTATCAGGCCTAGTTCCATCGACCCCAGCACGGGGCGGAGCTGACTTTGAATCCTTCGGGATGCCTTTCTCATTAAACCAGCAAAAGTATGGTGACATTGGGGGCTTCTTTATGGCACTGGTCTTGGCTCTTTTTCCGTTTCCTTTTTTCCGCAGAGGCGTGCTCAAGATGCCGTCGTCTCCGTTCAACGAGGCAACCTTTGCCTTGCAATTCGTCTTGACCTGACATTTCTCTCGTTCTTTGTGCCGCCGTAGTTCGGGGTTATCGGATCAGATTGTCCATTTTGTGAACGAGGATGGCGATCACCGTGACATCGCTCCAGACAATTGTCTCTACAGGTGCCTCGGCAACTCAGACCTCGACCCTCGCAACGACGTTGACCATCACACCGAACCCGCTGACCACCGCCTTTGAGCCGCCATCTTACTGCACCCAGAGCTACCTTTCAAACTGTCAGACAGACGCCGTCTCCGGAACGCTGCCATGCTTTGTCTCCGTCTATCCTGAGGGGGTGTGCGATAGCAATGGCCAGTCCTGTTATCCTCCAGTCCCCGGCGTCCTGGACAACACGTACCTCTACTCACCGGGTCTGAGCTGTCCGAGTGGATGGTCGACCGCGTGGAAGGAGGTCCGGACACCAACTGGCGAAGATGAGGAGACCACAGCGCACTGCTGCCCCACGTGCGTACTGATACATTCTTCTCATGCAAAGGTCACTAGGCTGAACTTCATTGTACTGCAGCGGACTCACCGTCACGACATACGGGATCTACTCAACATGGTGCGAGGGAACAGTCACCGCAGGCGAAGAGACCATGATCGTCAACGGCCTGTCGCAGTGCCCCTCTTCGACAACTGCCTTCACGTTCGGACCCGACAAAGCCATCCAGCTAACCTGGGTCGACCGTGAATCGACGACCCTGTCCGTTTCTGGTGATGCCGTCTTCACAGTCTCAGCCGAACGTGTCGCTCTTCTCTACCGATCGTCCGACATGACAGCCGCCGGGGCCGCAGCTACCGGTGGTAGCGGCTCATCAAGTTCAAACTCCGGATCATCTAGCTCGGGCTCGTCGAACTCGGGATCGGGCCTGTCGACCGGCGCAGTAGCAGGCATAGCCATCGGTGCCGCGGCAGTCGGAATATTCGCAGTCTTGGCCTTCTTCTGGTTCTTCCTCCGCCGTCGCAACGGTGCCCACCGCCACGCCCCGAAAAACGTGCCTGGAGACGCGCAGCCTGGACCGGGAGCAGCTCATTCAGCACCTCACGCCCCGACCGGAGCCGAGCATGAGCTGAAGGCCACGGATTCTGTCTCCACCCGCCCTATACCGGCGAGTCACGCCAATCCGAATGCGATGGAACTCCATGGCAGCACGCCCATCGCACAGCCCTGGTCAGGGGCTTCACCGCAGGGTGCTGGAGGGAATGTGTACTCGCCACATGGCGGCGAAATGCCTGGTATTGGAGAGGTCTCGACTTCTAACGACTATCATCAGCTCTCGGGAACTTTTGAAGGAGCGCGTGGCGTTATGGACAACTCGAGGCAGAACACACCTGTCGACCTTGTAGGCCGTGGTGCGGGAGGGACGGGTTTTCCGCCCGAGAAGGGAAGCGGGTGGTGAGTGAGACGTGTACATATATATAATACGCCGATGTGGTGAGATATGTAATGTTGACTGTATTCACTTGAGGAGATATGATAGCATCGAAGCTCCAATGAAAGATCTTCTTGCACCCTTGTGGAAGGTAAGCCCATCCTCGAGGGGCTCACATTGTACGTGCTCTGCGAGGAGGGTATCAGTGATTCTAGTTTATCAAACTTGACATTCACCCAACTTCTAAACTCCTGGTACCTAGCAATGAAAAAGAATGGAAACTAAGAGGGATGGGGATGAAAGGGAATGCCCATGTTGACATCAGTCGCTCATGTCAGCCCCCATTCCGTGCACAAAAGAGGCATAGGCGACAAGACACGCCGCAGCCATGCTCTGCTCTATGCATCGATCAGGCTACCAACGAACAGCCTGTATCTTTGCGCTTGCTGCAGATACGGCACAAAATGGCTGCACAGCCTCCCAGAATAGAAAGGACGTGGAATCCGTCACGCCGTCCTGCGTAACAGCACCCGCCAGAATGCCAAATCCTCTTCTGAGTTATTTTCCCTCGCATACCACCATCTCAGTGTTCATTTCACGCCATTCACCAGTGGTTTGATCAACCTGAGATGGCCGAATTAGCTCCAACGACTCTAACGTCAGAGACGTTGAGCAGTAGTCTGCTCACAACACTTGAGACTTCAACTATTTCTCAGGTGATACAGCAGACTCTCCCTACCCCCATAATGGCGTCAACAGTCTCGGAAACATCATCAGGATTACTACTTGCGGATACCGCTACATCTCCGACACCTACATCTTCTAATACCACACCGGTCAACCCGTCGACGGACACACCCAAGTCCGGAACAAGCGCATCTGCTTCCGCAACACACACCCCAAGCTCTGCACCGCTATCCACGGGATCCATCGTAGGCATAGCGGTGGGGTCCATCGCCGCACTAGTCCTACTCATCTCGTTTCTGCTCTTCGCTTTCGGCTTCCGCATCAGACGCGCAAAGTGGCGAGGCGACCCCAACAGCACCGAAGAACCGAAGCTGAGTGATAACAAGGGCGCGGCAGCCGGCGGCCCAACGCCCCACCACGGAAAGGCAGAGCTCGAGGACGCCGAGTACACGCGGAGGCTCGAGAGGCTGCACGACGGTGGGAAGCCTGAGCTGGAGGGAGACAGACCACGGAAGAGTGGGTGGGGGGCTTTCTCGATTAAATCCATGACGAAACGGGGATCACGACCTGCTCCTGCTGAGCTTGACACTCGACCTATGACATCGGGGCCCCATGAACTCCCCGGCGATAGTCCTTTTCAAGCTGGCAGTGAGAAGCTGCGGGATTTGTGGAGGGCTGCATAGGTCGCTTCCAGAGCGTGATGTTCATAGAGTAAATGATGCGTCCCGTTTTGAAATGGATAGGGGTTGGCTGCGCTTCGTTGAGGATGCGCATCCTGCCTGGGCGAAATCGAGTTGGAGTTGGAGATAACTTGTTGTATACATCATAGGCTGGTTGAAATCAGTCGCAGCAGGTTTTGCATTCCTCGCATCGTGGTTCATGGCAGCGAAGTGCTCAAGTGTTGCACATATGTGGTGGTTACCAGGCATTGGCTCGTCAACTGTATAATACTTGGAATAAGTGCGCTATGTAGACTTGAGGCAATGTAGATTTGAGATACAATGGGTTATACACTGGAAGTCAGCGATCAGTTAAGGGGTAGAAATTCTCATAAGCTGTGCCCTATATATGATCCCCTCATTGGTAGTATAAAGGATCTCAATGCACATAGAAGGAACCTCTGTGCATGTATCTATGACTTGAAAGTACACTATTGGCTGCTGGCGCGCAAGATTGCCTCATGTGAGTTGTTCAAAGTTAACTGCAGATAACCGCTGACAGACGCCTTTGGCCCTTCGGAACCCCTGAAGCATCAGTCAACCTAGTTGCGCAAACTAAATCTCTTCCGTGACGATTTGAGATCTATCCAGTGAAAATTAATTAAGCCAGAAGCAAGAACCCGCAGTGTATTACCAGAACTTTGTTTAAGAAGCCGAATATGTTGAAACAAAAGAAAAGGGCTGCACCAATTTGAGACATCTCTCGACGGGCAGGCCGTAAAAAGAAAAGCAGAATTGGAACAGCTGTAAATCCAGCCCACGGGTTCCGAAGCTCTGTACAATTTATCACTTGTCCTAACATCAAGGTCGTTCTCAACAAAAGACTTCTCAGTCGCCTAGAGACTGTTAGCCCTCATCAAATCGGCCGGGTCAAAGCCTAAATGATCATCAACAATTTCCTTGGGTGGAGGTGGCGGACTCTCTTCGTGTGGCATTGGCCTGCACCATCCCTCGGGGAGAGTGGTCCCCGATAGCTCTGCCATCTTCTCCACCTCGATATTGAGAATTCCAGGGTCTGTAACAGCACGGGTCTTTCGAACCAGCTCACAGACCTCTTCAAATTCAGTCGGACCGGCTATGTCGCGGATCGAATGGAGAATGCATGCAGTGTCATAACCATAGCTGTCATCCTTCAGTAGCCCCTTGAAAACTGGAAGTTGAGGATGGTTCTTCCCGTTGAACTCGGCGCGGTCCCGAAGATTGGAACGTGAGACGAGGAGCCACACTGGGATGTCTTTGTGTCCAGCATCTATTGCAACCAGGTAGTCTGTGGTTTCCGTCGGAACAATTTCGCCTGGGGCCACTAAAGAGTCCCACACCTCTCTCACAGAGGTCCTCACTGCGAGGCTTCCCAGTATGATGATAAAGTTGGGCAGAGAAGGCCTGGTTTCGCGGTTCGGCTCATCAGGTGTTGTTTTTCGGTACCTGACTTCATAAAGGGGGTCTGCGACGTTCATCCAAGGAGTCGGATTATCGGGCCTCGGGGCAAGGTTGTCACGGCAATAAATGCGGTCCAGGCCGCGAAGGAGTCCTGGATGGAGATGAAGTGAATACTCATCTCCAGTCGTAGCGTCCTTGAATAATGGTATCTTTGGAGTACCTGCAACCGAGACTCTAAGTGATGGCAAGTCTTCGTGGCGTAGACCGGAGAGCTTTTGCAACCAGCGCCGATGTCGAGGGACATCAAGGAGCTGGTCGTGCGGTTTGCTCAATTCGTCAGAACGTATGAAGCTGTGGGGCCAACCATCACCGATATCCCAATTCTTCCATGAGCTGAAGTAATCGACCTCATCCCAATGATCACCATGCCATTCATTGTAGTGCTCACATCCATCGTTCTCTTCGTCTTCATCCTCTTCATCATAAGGGGGCAAAAGGCCGTCGTCGAAGCTGCTGTTTGGGCGAGTATTCTGAGTCGAAGACTCGACGTCAGCTAGATAAAATCAAGTTGGTTAGTGATGCAGTTCCCGAAATTATGAAAATTTTGAGGTTCGGGGGCTCCAAAACGCTGTGTATTGGCACATTTGTCTCTAATGCAGATTGGACTCACGTTGCTCCTGCACCAAGGTCTGCGATGACTTCGAGGATGCCAATAATGATCCCATGGTATCTGGCGATGCTTCCATGCTCAATTTGTCAAATGGCAGTTTCACGCCGGCATTAGGTATGTGGAAATTGACTCTTGGAGTGAGTTACAACTTTATTTGGAACGGACAGCAGAATGACTGCAAGTCGATAGCATGACCATCAGCCTAAATGTTGTTTGGCTATGGCCGCAAGTTTGTATTTAAGCGCGCTGGGTTAGGCGCTGGGTTAGGCGCTGGGTCAGGCGCTGGGCCAGAAGGCTCAGGTGGCCTGGCGGCACAGCAACACGGAGGTAGCCCAAGGCAGGGCAGGGAGGTCTTGGTCTGTGAGCGGTCCCGTAGCCGCGGAAGATCCAATAACAGCTCCCTATATGATCCCAACCGTGTCTGGCTTTGGATAGTGTGATGAATATTCTAGAGTTCTTCTACGCGCGGCGATTCTTGTTCAGATTGTACTCCTCTATTTGCGGCACCAAATCATGAAAGGTGGGCCAGCCAGCGTTTCTCGCAGGAAAGCCTTGCTACTCGAGGTCTGCGACCGCAGGCTGACGTATCGCGTAACAGGTTATAGGTATGTTGGCCGCCAACATACACCAACATGCATAAGTGGCCGGAGAACGCACCATGTTCTTTTTATAGATCTACAAGCAGAAGTACGAAGCAAGCTTCGACAGGCCTCTCGCACCCCCAACGGTTTTCTGGTGATTTGAACAGATGGCATCCGTGAGCGTTCGAATTGTTGTTCTCCAAATTATATCATTCCTTTTATCAGAACCCGTACATTTTGTTATTCCAGCCTCGATGTGAGGTATCCAGTTTCAATAACCAGCCCTCCCTGATACCAGCACCAGACAGAGCAATGGCACAACGAGCACAGGCCCCACGAGCACAAAAGGGCCTAAACCATGACAGCATTATCAATTTCAAAATACCGAACAAACAGGACCCCAGGAAACATCAGGAGCAGTTTTTGCAGATGCATGATTCTATGAATAAGGCTGAGGTTAACTTTGATGTGATCTTGTCAGCCGCATCCCGAATTGCGGGGATTTTCGCGAATTTCGATAGGTCCACCCGTTTCGACACAGATAGTGTCAGATATCTAGTCGCAGACCTCAAGAAGATCTTTGCAATTCTGCGTTTACGACTTCTTCGCGATTACGGTTCTGAGCCCGGGCCTGGCAGAAGGGTAGCTGGACCCGGAGATGAACTCCCACAACGGATTATACAGGACGCCTACCAATGCCTGTGCCCTCTCACGACACTGTTACGATCAGTTGCACAAAGCATCAGTGATCTGAAGGTGGGCGTCCAGACCGGTATAGCTCACAATGGCTGGGGCGCTATCGATCCGCTCCGCAAGGTTCTCGATCGAATGGAGCAGAACCTGAAGAAGACAGAAGACGGTGGCGAATATACCGGCTTAGCACACTGCATCATGTTCCACGAGAGACATTCGCGTTACGTTGTTACCTCGACCGCACCCCGATATAGATACATCAGTGGTCTCCAGGTGTACGCACTTGGTCTACGGCATATCAATCTCACCAGAATGAGGGATGTGCTTCCACCACGATCCCTTGAACGTGTTCAGAAATTAGAAGATTATTCCGAAAATCTCAAAAAGGTATGGTCAAAGCTGCCAAAGGAGGGGAGGAAGTGGACTGGAGCTGCACCACCGATCGTCGAGTCCATCATGGGCTGTAATGCAACATTCGGGAACACCGGACGGTACATGACCGCCTGTCTCTTGGATCACCTCAGGTTCCAGATGAGTAGGCCTGAGGAAGCCCAGCAGTTTGAAGAGCGTATTACAGAGGACAGGGATGTTCACGGTCCATTCTCATGTGCGGAGTGGGAATTGTATATCACTTTGTTAAGCGATCCGGATCCGGACCAACCCTACGCTCCTCGTGTAGTTGCCATGAGCTATGGTATGCCAAAGGCGAGGACGTGGGAGACCCAGCAATCTGTCCAACGTCCACCTTCAAAGGCGAACGCTGCGCCCAGGCCGTGTCCTTTACCAGCTTACCCTAAACCAACGTGAGTAGGACTTTACAATTCACTCGCCCGAAATTTCTCAGTGGATTCGTCAAAAACTGAATTAACATAACATAGCGCAAAGAGAGTGGGCATGGGCAAATCTTCAACATTTGCGAATCATCCACAGCCCGTGCGACATGAAGCCGCAGGTCAGATTATCACAAAGTTACAGACCCCACCACAGAAACCTCCACCACAGGCATATCACTCACAGGTTGCGAACTCGGCTTCGACTCCGGCATATGGTGAATATACTCAGCAGGCGAAGAAAAAGGCAAAGTCAAGAAGATGTTGTTTCTAAAACTTCAGATCCGGAAACACTTAGTATGTACCTCTGTGGAACAAGCTTCATTTCTTATAAGATAATCTCCGATATGTACGACTCCTAGTATAAGCTTTCTCTAAGGCCAGCTCCCATGATGTAACTCATCACCCGTTTCATCAAATAACCTTACTAGAATTGCCTCCTATATGATCATCTTCTATGTACTATTATATAGTCTATTTTAAAAACAAATCTCTTGAAAGTTGCAGGATACTTTCCTATAGGTTATAGGACAACCTCCTATAGGATATCCTCCTATAAGACTTCAATCCTATAGTAGATGTGATGATTCGGTCTCAATGCCGTGCTTGCACGGTCCCTCTTACTTTGGTAGTGTAAAAATGAACATACAGCTTCAAATGTTGATATACCAGGCGAATGGGAGGGAAGTCATAGGAACATTAAATAGGCTAATCAAGATTTACATACGTCTGGCACTCTATTCAAATAGATATCATCTGTAATTCGATTGAAATGTCTTTCAGACTTGCCTCCACTGAAGGTATTGAAACATTCATGACAGGGCAGACACAGCCTGATGTCCAAGTCTTATAAAAGTGGCGAAGCTGACCTCTGCAGATCTGACAGCAGACAGAATATGCAGGCATGAGAGAAAACGGGAAAAGAAGGCGTACGTCGGGCGATTGGGAATGTGAGGTAAGAGAGAATACGTTCGGGCTCGCCGTCTGCAGGGATGGTTGCACAGCATCTGCAGCCCAGGAGGTGACCACCAACTGCCTGAAGCATTCTCGAGGCACTGCAGTGGCATTTCCAACACTGCCCATGCACGTGCACCGCCCCGAAGCCCCGCCAACAATGCATGGTTTGATGGACAACGTGTAGGTGATTTTCGCAAAAACCGGTGTGCCGATCTCGACTAAGTGCTGAATTTCGCGCGAAGTTGTAATAGAAGCGATGGTCGCGAGGTGGGCTAAACAGGCCATCAACTGCCAAACATTGGATTTGAATCCCATGATTGTGGTCGAGAAACGAATGATCATGAACCGTATTCTCTTTCCTTCACCAAGTCTCCTCACTTGCTATAGTTTGCCCAGTGTGAGTCTGGCACCGATGGCCTCCATGACTCTACCTCGGGTTCGTCTTCTCCTTCCGACCCAAAGAGCACCTGCATCGCAGAAGTAGAGTGAAGGATCAAGTTCCTCAATTTCAAGTGGTGGACAATAGCTCCATAATGCGTACATGAGCTACTCGGCAACGGATTCATCACGAACTGAAGCTCACGCAATGCGTTCGTGGATGCCACATGCCGCCACGCGGTGATCACACTGTTCCATTCCCACGGGCTTGCAGAAGCCCTCGAAGCCCACGAGCACCTCCAAGTGAGCCTACAAGCACTCGGCTCGGGAGTACCCGCTGCCTCGTATCTAAAGATGGCGGCGTATAGTGCCACACAGTTCCAGAGTTCCATGATTTGGAGTTTCGGCATCTCCATTGCTGCCCTGGCGGCGAGGTTAAGTTGGTATTTAGTAAACTGCTCAGTGGATTCAAGGCAAAGTTGGGATTTCAGGGCGAGCGACTTGAGGTTTCGGATCGCACCGGCTGGGAATGTCGAGCAATTTTTCGCGTCACTGAGAAAAGACACCGAAAGGTGCTTAAAATTCACGATGGATTTAGCCAGCGACTGAAACACCTTGAGCCTCGATGAAAGAGGTCTGTCTGTGGCTGGTCCTCAAATATAGATCGTGTTGCCCGCCAAATGATAGCACAGATCCATCCTCTGTACTGACTAAGGGCGGTATAGTCAAGCGATGAGAGATTGAAAGATAGGTAATCTTTCAAGCCCGGTGGGCCAGATATTGTGCAGATATCTAGGAAACTCGCTCTGCGCTCAGTTGATGCCGAATGGCACAGCATGGCGGCCAGGTGCCCTGTGCCGCATGGCGTAAGTTGTACACTGCAGACACGTGTCGTCATGTCCGCAGTGTTGGGAATGAAGGGTTGTTGGCTAAGAGTCGCAGCCATGATTTGAGCCACTTATCTCTCATAGTCACCCGTTTATGAAACAGGCTCCAACTTGCACGGCAGTCTTATGCAACGTCCATTATGGTATCTTCGAGCGAGGCACTGTCGTCTGTGTACCTTGCTTGCCCCAGTTTGTGATCCGTCCCTCCCAAGTCTGCGCGCACGACCATAGATCTGTGAATCACTCGCGGCGACAAATCCATACCCTGGATTGCTTTTTGTGCAGCGACTCCCCCATCGCCAAGTCCAGCACCCCCTCCTGTATCGCCACGAACAACACAAGTAAGAGAAACGCGAAGACAGAATCAGGGACACTTGATCTGTTGTAATTGAATTATTCAAGTCTTTGCCAAGCCTTCTGTTCTGGGCAAGCCAGACTTCTGGAACTAGTCCTGCTGCCTCACTTTAAACGCCCCTTTTGGGCATCAGCGATAGCTCACCCAGGTACCGTCAAGGGCGCCGAAAAAAATTCTAATCAATATGTCAAATAAGGACTCGAAATCCTTGTGTTCGAGTTTCCACAAGACCCAGACTAAAGCAGTTGCCGATCCGTCTACAGACAAGGCGACGGAACAGGAGGAGGGGCCCGCCAATGGGAGTGGCAACGAGGATGAAACAAAGACTTTCGAGGGCCAGGCGGATGTTGTCCCAACAGCCTCTTGGACCAGAAATGCCAAACAAGATTTCAAGAAGGAGCAGCCTCAGAATGTCCCCAAGTTCGATTCAGCTGACCCCGAAACCCGACTCCAAGTCCACGGAGAGGGTGCGGCTAGGCCAGACGGCTGATTTAACCGCTCCGGATGTTGCCTCGTCCGGGAAGAATACGAACAAAAGCGGTGAAAGTGGAGGCTCAAGGCCCATCCCATCTCAGATAATCGAAAAGTTCCAAAACACGAAGCTGCGGGATGTCATAGATGGCTATTTCTATCAATCCATGTTCGATATTCTCTTGCAGACTTCTCAATAGTAAGTGCACGTGCAACCTTCAGCAGGACAACCAAATGCTGTCGAATCCGAGCCCGTCAGCCAAGAAATCACAGTAACAGTACAGAGTAGTCTATTAGAAACCCAACTCACCAGGGTAAATTACACAACCTTGGGATGTCTTCGTACAATCCGTTCCTTTGGCACCACAATCTAGCAAGCTTGTCAGAGGTGTTACGAGTGACTGGGAGGTGAAAACTCTTACTGGTATCCTCGCATGGTCCGGTGTACTCTGGATAGTTTCCGTAGACTTCACAGCCATCCTGCCTTGGTTGCAGAGCATCCAACGGCAGTTTTACGCAGAGCGCAGCTGGAACAAAGAACAAAGTAACAAAAGCATTGAAGTGCATTTTGCTTACTGGAGGGAGAAGGGGTTTTCCTTCCGTGTTTCAAATTGTGGTGAGTTTTCAAGCTCTGTCTGCTTCAATTACTGCTGCAAACTGATAATTCCCATCTTCAAGAAATGGCGTGGACCTTTGACTCTATATACACGAAAAGGCCAAGACACGATTATTTATACTTTCCGTGTCTTAATTCAGAGACACCTGGTGGTCACGTCACTCGGCTAATTTGTCACTTGGCACTTACGGGCTGCGCTGCCTGGCTGCTCGACTCAGCCCTTGACGAGCGCAAGCGTGGGCCATAGCGTTGGAATGTTACGCCATTACTTCAATGCTAGACTTGGCAACTTGGCTCTTTTTCTATGTTTGGTACTGGCGCGACACTATGAGTGCCTGCAGAGCACAGACGGCTGTGTGACGCTGTCGACTGAGTCCGGATGAGCGGCGAGGAAGTCGATTGACATGAGTACACAATTTACCCGTCAGAGCTCACTCAAGCCAAGGTGTACGAGACGAAAGACGAACAGTGCCTCTAAGTCCGCGAGCCTCGCCCGAAAGTTAAGACAAAGGATCGATACGATCCAGCTGCTCACACATCTGAGTGCTGTATGAGTAGCGAGTCAAGGCTCCCAATAGTAGCCTGTGCAGATATCCCATGTTAATATCAAATAGCAATCCAGGCTCAGAACGGCGATATCGTGCTAAGATATTGATTGGACCTCATAATTTGTGGACACAGGTAACTGCGTGTGACCAGGCGTACCGTTTAGCCATAATGCATCGGTCAGGGACGAAAGTGCTGTCATGAGAAAGGAAAAATGCAGCATATTCCGTTCCCAAATAATGTATTCGAACAGGGCGTAAGAATTGTGAGCACAACATCCTCAAACAAACGAGGAGCTGTTGCAGCCTCAACTTCCAGTAGGACTTAACACAACATGTGCTTCTGCCAGTTCGCAGATGGATCTCGGGTCACCAGCCGAGTCACGTAGCTGCACATTTTTCATAATAAGATTGAACCCCAAATAGGCTTGCCATCAGGTTCCGCTTCGGCTTGCATCTTTGTGTTGTCAGCACGTGCCAGACCCGACTCCTCGTTCTTTTCTATTCACACACAAGCCATGAAAGCCAACGGCATAAGACGGCAAGCCGTCACATAAATAGCTAGGCGGCCGGTTTTTGTTGAACGATAGAGTGTGGAGTGCATCTCGGCTGCTGGAATGGCTCGGCAACCCCGTACCTGCCGTCCTGGCCCGGTTTGCAACATTGTAGTCACTCAGACTTCGCACAAAACAATGTTCTCTTAGTTGAACCGGAATTACATAAATTATGTATCCATTATGGTGCCAACTGTCAACCTTCTGGTCAAACGTAACGCCCAGATAACTCCCTGAAGTTGAACATTCGTCAGTTTTCCCCAAAAAGAAGTAAATTATTTACCCGACAGTCCATTCGCGAAGAGCCACTAGGCATCATGAGCCTTTCGCCTACACGCACAAAAAGCATATTGACTTACCTCGCCGGTGGACAGAACAAGCCTACTCGGACCACATCGTCTTCGAAACAGCAGCCTGACAGCCATAAATCTCACAGCAAAAGTCGAGCCCCGGTCGGTGAGAAGCGTGAAGCGACCTCTACATCTGGAAAGACCAGACCAAATGAGTCCAAGACTCATCATAGACATAAGAGTAGCCGATCGATAGATCGTCGACCAAGTCACAGGAGCAACCAGAGTTCATACCAGTCTGAACCAAAGCACGAACGCCAAGGTTCGTACTTTGAGGCAGACTCCGATGACAACCAGAGTAAGGAATGGTCTTTTTTCTCACGGGCCGCGTCATATGTAGATGACCGTCGCTACTCACACACAAATGACGCTGAGATAAGCCGCATCAACATGCCAACATCACCTGAAGTTCCTAGGCATCGGGAGCCCACCCTTGCAGATGCAAACAAGCACCACATTGGGCCTGGACGCTGTCTGAAACATTGGGACCCGGATGAGGAGCCCATAATGCTACTTACTTCTGTGTTCGATGCAAATTCCCTTGGGAAGTGGGTTCTCGATCAAACCGCCCGCATTTATGGAGAGCACAATGAAATGACAGATCTAGCAGCTGAGTTCTGGTTCGAACATATCCAGCTGGGGGGCAAGATTAAGCAGGCAAAGGGTCGCACTCCCCAGATCACGGAATCTAGCGTCCGTCACCGGATTAAAGAGTTCACCTTTTATGGTGACAGACTTGTGAATGAACTGCAGGAAAGGCTAAAGGATTGCGAGCAGCGTGTATTGGAAATCACCGGGATAAGTGAGATACCTAAGCTCGGTCACAAAAGCGTTGTTGTTTTCATTGACTCCTTCATCGGTCGCAACCCAGCGCAGCGAGATATGTTCCACGACCTCACACGGAGTATAAGGGAGTGGAATATTTGGTTTGACACCAGCTGCGCAGGCCTGTTGAAATAGAACATACCTTTTGTTAGGATAGATAAGAATTTATTGCCAATACCCTTTCCAGGAGGTAGAAGACCGCGCAGCACCCAACTCTGTCCACAACCCATCGTCCTCTCCGCCATTCGATCAGTCCCTCGACCACAAACAATGTTAAATGCACTCAAACGTAGTCCACCGCGCTATTTGTACTCCCTAAGCAGTTCAAATCAACAGCCTGGCCCTAGAACCTTCTCGTCTCTATGAAAGCACCATTTCCTGCCTACCAAGGCGTACGAAAATCTAACCTCACTACTACACTCTCTGTGATTGAGATTCCTGTATTTTACATGGTACGCATGGAATCAGTAATCAAGTAGCTCATATTCGTAAATCATTTGATTCCAGTCATGGTGATTGTAGTCTGGTTGAAGTCACGCTGCTGATCGTCTTGCTGTGTATTACGATGAGGCGGTCTTAGGTGACATGCCAGATGCATCTTGTATCGCATCAGCCCTAATTTTATATAAATTTGAGTTTCTTCCCATTTTTCCGCTTCTTTCGCTGATCAGTGCTCAACTACATCCACCAAGTCAAGCTTTGCCCCCAAAAACAATTGTCTCACTTGAACGAGCGTATTGTCCAGTCAAAAGTGCAGTATTTGGGGGTTGATGTGACATCCTGATCGAAAAGGTGATTACCTCCCACGAATCTACATGCCTCTTACTCCTGTACCAGAGTGCCAGTATCAGTAATCACCGAATTGGTTTGCTAAGACTATCGGGACTTCACAAATGTGTTTCCACGACGTCTCGAATGACGGGAGCCCTGAACCAGGAGCGCGGCCGGTAAGCCGTGGGTCTAATCGTGACATTCCTTTACAGCAATGGGAATTTTTGGAGACAAGGGACAGGAATGGAAGGTGAGTTTTGATGGGATTCAATGGCTGATTTGGCTGACCACAAATGACAATGTTGAAGGTTTCCATCAAGCCAACGATATATAGCAGAGCAAGGTAGGCGATCATCATTCTCTTACCACCGTGATCCTTCAACTCGGGATCGGGCTGTGTCCCGCGATGCTGGCCGCCGCACACCTGAGCACAGCCGAGTTCGAGACTATCGATCGCATGCATCTCGATATCGTGAGGGGGATTCACACACGCATGTAGATCGACGCGAGCAGCAGACCAGCAGACCAGAGCCCTCGAGGCGGTGGGAAGCCACAGAGGAAGACGCGATACAATGGGCCATTGACCCACAACTGGACTTGAGCCATTGGGACCCTAGAAATCATCCAATCGTGGCACTTGATGCTGTTTTCGATGCTTGGTCATTCGGGCAGTGGATTTACGACCATGTTGTTGATCACTACGGGGTCGACAATGATATTTTGCCAAAGGCGGAAGTCCTCCGGAATCGCCTCATCAATTTGTATCACTACCAGAAGCAGGCTGAATACGCTTTGAGAAATGGCGCCTATCCTGATAAAGAGAGGCAACTTGGAACGTGTATCACCCTTGGCACAAATCGTATCGAGCGGATTGAAGAACTCATCAGAGATTCTGAAAGGGGAATTCAAGATATCATCAATACGCCTAGAGGACATGCAAAGTTTATAAAGGCAATTCTCGCAATTAACACGGGGGGCGAGTCATACTTCTTGATGTTGATGCAAATGATAAAAGATTGGGAAAGGGACTACGAGAGTCAACTGCAGGGCATCCTCACCGAAGCTAGACATTGATAGACCAGACCACGAACATACGTTTTAGTCTGCGACAGAGCGATGAATTCAGACACAGTTGGATGCCATTTAGCCCTGATATTTGGACCAACGTGACAAGCCTGGAATGAAGACATCGAACAGTGGTGCGGCGTAGATTGCGAATCAACCCATGCAAATACCCCTTAGTAGAAAAAGCCTCTCCCCAAATACAAATGGCTTGGTACGAAGAAAAATGTTTCTACGCCTCGATTGACTCAAGGAATCCAGTTATCGATTAATAATTCCCACTGTGAACTCCTTAACTAGTGTTCTCCCTCATTAATGATAAAGAGTGCCACGAGCCTTGAAAGCTGCGGTGGCTCGATATGTCCGCACGTCATCATGGGCCTGTCATCAATACAGGGGGCTCAAGTAGCCGGCACATTATCAAAAATCAAGAAAGAAAAGACAGAGAGAGAAAGAAATGGAGATTTATTAATGCTGTACAAGTCACAGGCTACCTGTCCCATGAGTGTTAGGTCTGCTGGTATTCGGTTCGTGGTGGGAAACGTGTTGTGACTGACCAGCCAGCTCCCACAGCATATAAACCGTGGCCCAGTTTCGTCAAAGAACAATCAGTCGAAACGCTCAAGAACACCAGATTTTCTCAGATACTTCTCATCAAAACCGATCGCCTTCTTTAGCAACATTCGAAACACGTTTAGCATCTAAGCAACGAGAGCAAGCATGAGCAGATACGAGCCGGACTTTTCACTCGCCCTCGGCAAGAACAGGGGGAGGCCCGAAGTGACTTATCAACCCTCCATGTCTCTTGTGCATCCCCCTATACGCTCTCCTGAACCTCAGTCCGGCTTCGTGGTCGTCCACTCTGGGCGATACCGCCACAGGGCCTCTGGGTCAAGTCAAGGTGACGATGACAGACGTAGACGACAGGGCGTACGTCCTCAGCGCCCGCGACGAGCCACTGATCAAGATGCAAGAGCATGGGGACTCGAAACAGGACTCGAAATGGCCCGCTGGGACCCTGACGAACAGCCTTTCGTTTTCCTCGGATCCATCCTTGACCAACATAATCTCGGAAGACTCATCCTCGACTATTCTGTTGCATTTCGCGGGTCTAATGCCCCTATGACAGCGGTTGTCGAGGACTTCTGCGATCAGCTCCTGGTATTGAACGAGGACCTCAAGCAGTGCAAGCATTTCGACCCGTCAGGCAGGTCGCAGGAATCAAGGGACACAGTGGACTGGTTTCTCTCAACGGGGGACAAGATGAATGCCAGTGTGCAACATCTTCTCAAAGTGTGCCAAGAATACATGCTGGGATCGTTAAGAGAGGATGGGAGCGTGGGGAGAGAGGCCTGTGCAAGGTTCATAGATGTTTTCCTCGGCCGCGATTACGAGCTGGAGAAAGCGGAAATGCTCACGCAAAACATGCACGCGTGGCATGTTGACTTTCAAAAGAGTTGCGCACCACGCCTCCGAGGCATCTAGAGCGGACGGTGATGTCAAGTGCATGGCCCTTGTTGAAAATTGGGCAAGCTGCGTGGGCGAGGTGTAAGCGGGCGGCGTCTTGCAAAAGATGTCATTGAATCAACAAATTCAAGTCTTAGTCAGAAATACCACTCAATCAAAACAGACTTGCCCAAAAGGATTCAATGGATTCTCAAGGATGACTAAATCCTCAAACCCTCACGCAGATCATGGCACGAAAAGATCTTCTTTGCGAATCTGGAAAGGCTGGGTGAGGGCTAGGAACTCGAACCTGGCACAGAAACTTTCTTGTTAACATGTCCCGCCTTGAAAATTTTCCCCAGAACGTAGTACTCTACCAAAGAATGCCGCCATGGCTTACTGGCGACAAGTCCTTCTCCGGCTCTCCAGCTCGGATGGTGAAGTCTCATCATCGTGGGTGTGACAGCATCACCCTTAATCCTCGGAGGGTAATGTAATACACAAAATCCGAGTAGCCCAACCACATCCAGCTCAAGAGCGGCAGAAGCTTCATCACTGGTCAGTGATTTGCCTGGCGTTCTAATACCATCAATTTTGCCGTTTTCGAAGTTAATCAAACCCAAAACGAACCCAAAACCACACCTTCCAAGCTTCTTAAGTATGTGATATCACTGGAGATATGACCATCCAGCGTAATCAACAGCTCAACGACAAACAAATAGCTCAACCCGGCCGCCATGAGCAAGAGCTGTCCAAGCCTCATAAGAATCTCCACCTGAGTGTCCTGAGCGACTGGCAACTGAGCAGGCTTTACTTGCTGAAGAATGGTATGACCCATGCATCCAACATGCAAGTCCCCGGAACATCAAATCGTGAGCCAGCCATAGGCACCTCCACTGCAGCAACAACTGGCCAGAGCCTGTATGAAATTGCGGGCGTGCTCAAGAGACATAGCAAAGTTCAAGGGCGGAAAAGCGCGATAACCGATCCAGACCCAGCCAACAACCCTTACCCCATCCCGGAGGCAACTTATCCTTCTGTCCTCACCACGAGCCTTGTCCAGCGTATGAAGCATCAAAATCCTTATGCTTTCCACGGAAGTATCAATCATGTCTCAATTTCGCGGCGCTGCACACGAAGTAGAACTCCGAGTACTAAAGTGGTGTACAAGTCGCTCCTGTATCTCGTCACTCAAGAGACTGCAAAACTATTGTTGGTGACTGCTGAAAGCCATGTGGCCGTTCGTCTCAACTTCAGTAGAGAGAATTGTGGTCATAGAGTTGAATAATTTGTATGTGCCGTGTGACGTGCCACTTCCAATCTTATATAAATTCAGCTTTATTCTTCCTCTCACTCTCCTCTCTCCTTCCTTAGAACCCAACTGGAGTCCGCAATGGAGTAGATCTGATCCAAGAAATCACCCGTCACGAATAAACGTCCTTTCGATAGAAAGCATCTTCAGAACGCATAATCTCGCTTACAGCAACGCGGAAGACATCTTCTATCGAATGAATAGCAATCTTGCATGCATGCTGCCGTTCCGAAACTCTAACGCCGACACCTCTATTCTCGCGACACAACGAAGGCTTAACAGCGCGCAGCCCCGATAATGGAAGAGCAGCACTTCCGAAATCCACGACGCCAAGTTACATGGGAAGACGCTCGGAGATGGGAAATCGATCCAGAGCTGGATCTAAGTCAATGGAATCCTGACAAAGATCCAATCACCAATTTCGGTGCCGCATACGACGCTTCCTCATTTGGCAAATGGGCTCGTCGTTTCGTTGTTGGTAATTACGGGCCCAGGAGTTCCATTTCCAAAGCGGCTCAGATGCTTGAGGATTGCCTTTACGATTTGTATCTCCATCTCCCAATGGCTCGGCAAATGTTGGCTGAGAACCGGGGCCGGGACATGAGAAAAGTCTTGAAAAGAATGGTCGAGAGGGGCGAGGATCTTGTGGGAATGATCCAGGATGATTGTGAAATATGTGAACTTGATCTTAATGACAGCCCTAGAGTCAAAGACTTGCGCCAAAAATATATGATTCTGGCGGAATGGATTCTCGGCAAGCATAGTGGCAAGGATAGACAACGATTTTTGGACAAGTTCACGAAGAGGGTTGAAGAGTGGGGAGATGATTTCAGAAAGCTGCGTAGGTAGCCACTCGGTGGAAGAAGACCGTGGTACTCCAGATCCAACACAAGATGGAGAGTCTATGAAGATAGTGCTTTTTGGAGTCAAGGCAAAATGATGTCCACATGATCTCCATACTCGGGCCATTTCGACCTACTTCACATGAAGAAATTAAGAAGTGACGAGGGTGACTAACAGAGTTCTCACCCATATGAAAAGAACCAGCTGACGTCTTACATCTCCATATATCCACTAGACAGTGCGAAAGAAAAGGTACCTTTCTATCTATGTGAACTCAGAAGTCCAATCATTTCTATGACCTCCTTTACAACGGTCGATACCAGCAAACATATCCAGATGCTTTTGCCGTCCCCCCGCGTCATGGAGCTCTAAGTGACCCTGCCTGATGAAGAGTCTAGAGAATAACTTGCAAGCGATTCCATACCCGAAGATTTCTCAGGCTACACACGACCCATGTTATTTGTGATAATATGAACAACATTACGAGGCTGGTACAAGCTGGAATGTGAGAGTGTTCTGTGACTAGCCAATAACGATTGTACGGAGGTCCCTCTCGCCCAACCCCCTTCGAGGGCCAAAGGTCATAGGATTAATCAGCCCTATCTAGAAAGAACACCACCCAATGCAGAATTTAATTCCTTCACCAAATATTTCAGAATACCCTCAGCCCTAGGAAGCGAGAACAGTCAGGGGTTAATCCATGCTAGAGCCTTCTCTCGCAATCAAGCAGGACACGAAAAGGAACTTAAGGCCCGGCGTGAGCGGCCAGCCCAGCACACCCGAGTCCTGCACCTCCCAAGTGCGCAGAGATGGACCGATGCTAACCTCAACAATTTCCAGGACGCAAACATCGCCCTCATGCCCTTCCCCTGGAAAGCACTAAGGACGGGGCAGACAGACTCAATCGTTGTCACAGGCCACTGGGACTCAAACCCGCCAGCATTCCCCATCAATGGGTCCCAAGTCGACTGCAAATCGATAGGACAACTTCGCCTTGCCCATGCCGGCGCCATCCACAGAGGTAAGCGGCCTGAGTCGGCAATGGCCAACGAGCTGCGAATGGGACTTATCAACTTGTGCTGTTCGGCGAGGTAGTGCGCGGCGGGTAATTCTGAGCACCATCGGCGAGAGGTCCAGATGGTGAACGGATTCACAAACCAGGGAAGGGCATGAATTCCAAGATTGCAAAGATTGCTCGGACACGGCCAGGCTGCGAAGCTTCAGGCGTCGAGGGAATCCCTCGACAAGGTGGGCCTTGATGCCACTGCCCTGTTCATGCGAGATTTATTCGGCGGCGATAGCGAACTGAAGGTGTCTCTGCAACAAATGAGCGATTTGAACGATAGATTTGCTGGTAATTACCAGCTCGCACTCCTGAAGGGGCCGAGAGAGGATAGGAATAGCTCATATTGAGAATCAGGCAAGTCGTTAGATTGGATTGGGTAGACATCCACGATATAAGGGGGGGCCTGTGACATCCAAGATCGTAAATTTCGAACTACCAAAAAAACAATGGGTCTTCAGACTCTGAGACCAAGTCATCAGGAACAAAAGGCCCCTACCGCAGACCAATGCCCGACCCACAGCATCCTTGTTCAGTGACGATTTACGTGGACGAAGTGTCTCATACTCTGTCAACCAACTTCACACGTGCAACGGCGGACCAACGGCGGCAAAGACGACGATGTCTAGCTCGAGAGGAGCGATGAAGCCACAAGCGTCCCTACAGCCCAGTCCATCGCGACTGGCAGCAGGTAGAAGTCTGTTCTTCCAAGCCAGAGGGCAGATGTGCAAGCTAACCAAGCACAAGCCTACCAGCCGAGGAGGAAGACCTCCCCGCTACATGAACCTCGATCTCACTCAAGAGAGCACATTTCCGAGCCAAGATGCCCGGGCACCTCGCACCCAAACACACATATGAGGTCTACCCTCCCAGGTGGACACATACGGAAATCCACTCGCCCACTCGTGTTGTCATCACGATAATCAGAGCACCAATGAAGCACAGGTTCAGGAACGGCCAATACATCAGAAGCGAACATCGTTCATTCATCCACGATTATCACAAGGTATATATACTACTCCGCCGGAGTTCCAGCCGGTATGACTCGGACATCACAAATTATATCCCCCGGGCGCAACGCCGGTCAGCCCCATGGGCTGCTCCGGCTTTGTTGAGAAGATGGCCTCCAGCGCATCACGGACCTCAAATTCCTCGGTAACGGCGCCAAACCTGTTTTTGGAAACTTGTCAGTCACTACCACACACGCAATGACACATCATCGACTCTCATGTCGCCAGAAGACAGTTGTGACTCACCCATAACATCGGATCTTACTTCCTAGCTCCTCGGTCAGCTTCACAAAATCCTTCTCGTTCATTTCCCCGAGCCGCGGGTGCGCCAGCACCATGCCCCATGCCATGACAGGCGTAATCTCGCCGTCAAGATTGAGCTTCTGGCTCAGGTCCAAAAGCGTCGCCAGGTCCGACTTGCTGAGCTCCCACGTCCGCGGCGGACCCCCAGTTGGACCGTCAACCTCCATGGCGGCCGAATTTGGCGCCACCATCCCTGTCCTTTCAGCAACCTGGGAGCTAGGGGCGGCGTGATTCCTGCTGAAGTTGCGGCTGATGGATGGGTTTCTCTGGTTACTCGTTTGACGAGAGTGACCATTAGTGCCGGGTGTATTGTTGCTGTGCTTGTGGCCAAACGGTATGTCCGGCGTCAGGTCTGAAAATGGCTCGGGCGGACATGATGCCATCAGCGCATGGCCGCAAGGCTCCGTGCCACCATTGGCGCTCGAGCGATCCAATAGCCAGGGCATGTGATCCATGCAGGGCCTCTCAAGACTAGAGAAGCGAATCCGTGGTCAGCAAAGGTCCTCTTTCCGTCATGCTTATCACAACGCCGTTGACCAAATAGTTGAGTCGAGACTTGGTGGTGGTGTTGGTGGGTGTGATGGGACCACTGAAGTGTTCCGCCGGGCAACGATCAGGGTGCCGATCTTGTGCGATGTGAGGCAACGAGTGTGAAGAAGTGTGCAGGTATTACATGAAGACGGTCGCTAATGGGGAGGAGATAAATAAGCGTTCGGGGGGTTTTCGTACGATAAAACGAAGTCAACGCCAGCCTGATCATAATCTATGCCCGGGTTCCGCCGGGGTCCAGTCAAATGCGCGGATGGTGATTGTCGATGAAGGCCCACAGCTTGCTGGCTCGGGCTGAGCCCACCCAGCGGCGACAGTCCTTGCATGGCGGTCGTCGTGCTCAACGCGGAGCCTGGCGGTGGCGTGTATGCCGAATTTTGTGTAGATGCCGAGGCGAGACCGTAGCTGCCAGACCCAGTCATGGAGGCTGAACTATTGCTGCCAATGTAGGGGCCCACAGATGGACTGCTGATATTGTCGTCCATCATGCCTATCGTGCCCGAAACTGGTAGCCCGTTTTGCTGCATCACAGCCTTGAGTGTACGATTCTCCTCGGCCAGGCGCTCCTTGTCTTGGCTGACATTGGAGTAGACCTCTTTCAGGCGGAGGACTTCATCCTCAAGGGCCTTTATATATAATTCTTTCCGCTCTCGATGGGTTCTACCCAAGCGCTCAGAGTCAGCAAAAACCCAAAGCCGTCGTAGCAGAGCGCATGCGATCAACACCAGCTTACCTCTGTGCCTGCCTGTTCAACTCTTGCCTCCTCGTCAGGGCGGGTTTGCTGTCGGGTTTTGGGCCACGACGTTTCGCTGGTTGTCCGTCCCTGGTCAATTTCTTTTCTGAAGAAGTGAGAGACTTGAGGAAGCCGAAGCCGAGGGTGCCGTTCTTTTCACTGGGTGGTTGAGGGTTGGAATGTGCCGGCCCGCCGTATGCAATGCCGGTGCCGACCCCGCCGAACTCGTTCTTGATGTTCGGCGGGGACAGGGAAGTCGTCGCCATATTATAGTAAGGCTGGTCAGATAGCGAGGCGTTGGAGGGCTTGCGACGGCTGCTGGGAGAGTCCTGGGATGAGTGCGACTGCGACGGGGAGTAGTGACGATGGCGATGCTGATTCGGAGGGGATGGGTATGCGGCAGCTACCAAGCGTGGTCCTGGGTCAGCCATTTTGTCTCACGGGTTGGGCGCCTTGAAGCACTGTGATGACCAATTCGGAGAAAAGAAAAACAAAGCGTTGTGCACCAGTTTTTCAGTCTGAACGAGGCTCTTTGATCACAACGGAAGACCGTTATCCGATCTTGCTACTCATTGGGATGGATCGCAGGACAGCGGAACAGGAGAGATGGCATCGAACAACACACAGCACCTAATGCTATAGCATATAGGAACAGCAGGACGAGACCAGGGGAGGATATCGCACAAAGCCGCGAAGTGGGAAGGAAGAGACGACGGAGGACGTACCGGATCTTCTGACAGGATTAGCACCTGTTTAAAGATGCGATGAATGAGGCGGGGACCCAAGACGAGGCGCCTCTCTGGACCGTTCGCTGTGCCGTGCGTGATCTGCTCGAGGATGTGTGGAACGGTCACAGCAACGGACGAGGGTGGTATTCGAAGAGGACCGGCAGGTGGCAGTGGCACCTCGTGGATCCGGGTCAGGGTGGGTTGGGGGACGACCCCGGTTTGCGAATCGAATCGAAGTGCGAGAAGGGACCAAAACGTGAAAGGCGGCGCTGCGTCATGCAAAAAAAGCCGGGTCGGGGTTCTACCTGGCTGGCCTGGGTAGTATGGGCACTAGCAGCGCTTGGAAACGAAAGAGACGGAGTTTCCGGACCGGATCGAGCACTTGGAGCCGAAGGGGTCGGGAGAGGGATTCTCATGCCTAGAAGGCACAACTGCGAAAGGGCGGGAGAGGCTATGTGCCGGCGAGTGAACCCAAAAGCCGACGACTGTGGTGAGATGACACAGCGGGAGACAAGACGAAGGCAAAGGGCGTGCGCGGATGGCGTGGAGGGCGTCGTCCCCTTATCAGGCAGATCGATAGAGAGGCGGAGACCGAGAGAGACAGGCCGACGAGTGAGGTGCAGTGCAGTAGTACGGCAAGGTTCGCCGAGTGGGGTGGTACGCAGTACCACCTACCGAACTGCGTACGTGCGAGCTGAGGCGGGCTGGCGGGCTGTTGGCTGTGGGCTGCGTGTGTGTTGTGTGTATTTGTGTGTGTGTGTGTGGAGAAGGCGTGGGCAGTGCCAAGACGGACGGGATGGTAGCTGTTGTGGGGGAGGGACCAGGTGAGGAAGCTGGCTCGTGAGTGGTGCTTGGATGAGGATGAAACCCGTCGAGTGCAGAGCAGCGTCTGAGAGATGTTGGAGCCGAGCGATGCTGGAACCTAGATAATCGACATGGTCCTCGCCAGGGACGAAGGCGTTGCAGGAAGATGAACGGCAGCCAGGGATGTTGAGGGGTTGGCTGTTGGCACCTTGGGCTTGGGTTGGTCTCTGGGGAAAGTGGGTGTGATTGTGGAAGTTGGCGCGGGTATCGACTGACCGTCTTGGGCTGTGGCGATGGTGATGGCGTGGGTGAGGATGGACGAGTGCCCTATCGGTACTGCAGAGATCTACACGTTGGACGTTGAACTGATGGACCAGATAGACTAGATAGACTAGAGATAGTCGCTATGATAACGTCGGATGAAATATGCCCGGCTTGGTTGGTGGTAGTGACGATTGCTCAACTCAAATCAAGCCACGCCAGGTCAATGGCCAGGTCAAAGGAACGTCGAGTCGGTCAATGAGCACGCAATGTTTGCACGCAATTGTGTTGAGAGTAAAAGAATCAAGTCGACAGTGAAGTCGAGGTCGAGGTCAAAAGTTGGAAGGGAGGTCAGTCGAGCAGGATTGAAGACGGTCTTGCTCCTGTCCTCACTACTTGTAGGTACCTAGGTACTCAGTCGTCTCTCACTCCTAATTCAGAACCATTGCGACGACTGCCAGTGAGGAGGGGCAGAGGGGCAGAACGGGGAGGGGCGAAGGAAGGGACAAGGACAGGAGGCGCAGAGTGTGCAGGAACCCTTGGTCCTGCCGTATCCAGAAGGAGCTTATTCAGCGGGCCAGCACGTGGGTCCACCGCCAAGGTACCGAGCAAGGGTGAGCAGTGAGCGGCATCGATTACTATCAGATCTGAGTGGTCAATTCGCTGCATCCGCGATAGTGCCAAGTGCTGATGTGATATCTCTACCAGAAGTGCCAGATCAGAGATCAGAGATCCAGAGTCCAGACAAAGGCAGGCCCGCCTTGGCTGCATTCCATCGTCTTCCAAATTCCATGATAACGATCAACGTTGCACAACTACTTTTCTTTTTTTTTCTTTTGTTCTTGTCTGTCGGTCTATCCAGTCCATTCGTCCCTTTCAGCTTACTGCGTAACGCTGTGGCTGATCGTGTCTGAGCCGGAGAAACATTCTGTCTTGGGTCAGGCGGGTCCTCCCTCCCATGACAGCAAGCTGTACGTAGACGGTATCAAGGGTGTGTATCTAGTCTAAGCTTTGGCTGTCAGTCTCGTTGGCGTCTCAAATCTTCTCTATCCCTTCATATCCTCAGCTCCTGAAAAAAAAAATTAAAACAATTGAACAAGCTCTGAGCCTCTCCATGATGGTACGTTCTGACTAGGGGTTCGAGAGGCGCAGTGAATCCAAACAACTGATACACCGGGAAGTTTGTCCCCCTAAAATTGGTTCAGTGTAGTGCGTGCCATAACATCGGAACGTTCCTGCCGGATCTTGCATCAAGGTGGAGATGGGGATGAGGACGAAGATGAAGATGAGGATGAGATGACGATGAAGCAGCCATACATCCTTGATCATCTCGGCCCCCAACCCTCTTCACCTCAAAAAACCTAGCTGTCAGGAAATGCAATTGGCTATACCTACCTGTATGCTCGACGGCTTCTAGCCAGCCAGTCCAATTCCCCTCTCGCGAGCCTCACGAGCCTCAGATCTCTGTGATCGTCTCAGCCCAGTCCTAGCCCTTCGCTCTATCACGCATCAGGAATCTGATGCGGTCACTCTGACGATCCCGCTGTCAACCAATCTTTCAACCCACTCAATCCACTCTTGTTTCCGTCTGTCGCGTCTGTGGCGTCGACGATTGCCCAACTGCCTTCTTCCGCGCTCGGACGCGACACTAGACAGGCTTCTGTTCTCCTGTTCCGTTCCTCAAAGAAACAGCCGCGGTTGACGTGACATCGCGTCCATCGCCTGCCCGATCTGTGCCGTCGCATCTTTACACTGACAGCCTGCGACCACTACCACTCGGCCACCAGCCGGCCTGCACGCCCTGAAACACGGGGCTAGCTGTCATTCTGTCCTTCCCGGCTCGACATCCAACGGCAGCAACACCCGTGATCAAGCAATTTTCTTTGAGCTTAGGGTAGATATCCTCGGGGAACAAGCTCAACGTAGTGATCCTGAGTCGGTGACGCCATCCATTCTGGCCTCCCTCGCCACACAACTCACCTGCACACCACCAGCCAACCACCACGTCTACTGCCCACACAGCTCCTGTGGCCCGGCTCATTCTGCCCAGCACCGCGGCCGCATCCGTCTTTTCCGGCCCCGAGATTCCCGTTCCTGACCGGCCGGCCGGGCGCCAAGATGGCAAGCACCCTCGGCAGCCTGCTCGCCCACCTCCGCGGCATAGCCATCATCACTCCCTGGGCCCTCGCCCTTCTGGCCCAGGACCTGCTGCTATCGCTCCTGCTGCTGCTGAGGCCCTTCAACCCCCTCCTCGCGTATAGGCTGTCCAGTCCCATCGCTTGGTCCTGCTGGGCCGGCATCCAGTTCATCTTTGAGCGGCTCAACGGTGCCAAGGTCGTTGTCTCCGGCGACAAGCTCCCGGCGGGCGAGTCAGCCGTCGTCATCGCCAATCATGTGGGCTGGAGCGATTTCTACATGATCCAGCACCTGGCCATGAGGGCCAAGATGCTTGGGTACTGCAGATACTTTGCCAAAGCTCAACTCAAGAAGGTCCCGTTGCTCGGCTGGGGTCTGATGGCCATGGGCATGCCGCTTGTGACCAGGAACTGTGCGTTTTGACTCTTTCTCTCCCTCCATCATGATGTCGAACTTTGAGTGATGAGATACTTTCTCATACGATTCATGAACTGTTGATAAGTGTCATCACGGCGGCCGACGGCCTACAGCCATCGTCGTATCGTCATAGCGCGTCACACATTGTCCGCTCTCACACTTACTCACCCACGACACCCATGACCCAAACAAAGGAAGGAAAGGCAAGGCCGCGCTAACATCTCACAGGGCAGCAAGACAAGCGCGAGCTGGACCGCGTCTTCTCAGGCATCACGCAGCACCGCTTCCCAACCTGGCTCATCTCCTTCAGCGAGGCGACGCGCTTCACGCCGCAGAAGCACCGAGAGATGCAGCATTGGTGCGAGGCCAACGGCCGGCCCCAGCCCCAGCACCTGCTCTACCCGCGCACAAAGGGCTTCATCGCCACCGTCCAGCACGTGCGTCATGCCGCACATGTCAAGGCCGTCTACGACCTGACCATCGCCTACCGTCGCGGCGGAAAGTTCCAGGCCGCCCCGCCCTTCTGGGACACCATCCGGTCCGACAAGCTCAGCGGGCCCGGTGGGTACCAGTTCGAGGTACACCTGCGCCGCTTTGCGATGGAGGACCTGCCTCTTGAGGATGCGCAGCTGGCTAAGTGGCTGGAGACGAGGTGGGTTGAGAAGGGGGAGTGGTTGGAGCGGAAGAGAGTTGAGTGGGAGGCCGAGGACGGCGGGCGGTGATGTGATGTGCTCAGCACGTCAACAGTGGTTGTCTTGTGAGCGGGCTCATGCGAAAGATGCCTTCAATGAGCATCGAGGCGTTGAGGAATATGCATAGAGTGTCACCGCGCTGAAAGTCACTGGGGAAACTAATCAAGAGGAGTTACCGAGAGTAATTTTAGACTTTACTCTAGAATCAGACGGTGGTGGTAGTGAGCCTGTGAGGTGTTTCACGATAATGCAAATATAATCGATATTATGGAAAGATAATGTCATGATGAGGGTTTCGCGCCCAAGGAACTGAAATGACTACAATTATGTTTCAGGTTCGACCGAACCGGATGAACTGGGCACAGTTGTGCAGTCATACGCCACACACTGCAATGGATACTTTCTATCTTTCTCACTTTGAATTGTCTTACTCACTATTCAAGTGGAACTGGAAACTGTACCTAGAATTGACAGCACAGCCCGAAGTAGCGGTCGAGGTGAATTCAATGTCGTCAGCATCGAAAATGGACACTGCTTCTTGGCCGCAAGGCTATCATCTCAGGCCAATCAGTTATATCAACGTTTCATAAGACATAACAAGGCGGCGATATATTGGGATCATGCATGTAGTTATTATCCAAGGTGAGACATGATGCAGAAAATCGAACACCAAACGCCACACACCTCATAATGCTAGAGTCAAAGAAAAGTAGCAATTCCTTGGACCCCCACGGCTCGCAAGAAGTCTACGAGACAGGAAGCATCTCAATTTTTCTCGACACGAAAAAAAGGTCAAGTCTAGAATTTCAACCTGTTTATCATCGTCTTCACCGAGTTGAAGTAGGTCGGGGGGACAAGGAAAAGAAAGGAAAATAAAAATAAAAAACTGTTACCAATTTACATCCCAGGCAACGATTCAGTCTGCGTAGACTATTCCAAACATTGTATTCCAGGTTGGACACAACCGCACGAACAACTAAGAGCCGAAACAAAGTCTTACAATATTGCTTCTATCAAGGCAAACGTTACTACCAGCCCTAGACAATTCTTCCCCGTGCGCACGAGTTCCGTCAAAGAGGCCGAGCATGAGCCGAGGCTGCCCAGCGCAACAATGCCACATGAGACCATCGTCATTATTTCGCAAAGCATATCAAGACAACCCATCATCACACAAGCTGACGAACTTCACGCGGTTGCCGCCAGAGGTCTCACTTCTTTCATTGACCGGTCAGTCAACCAGCCAACCCAAGGAATTATTGCTATCTAGTAATAGCACAAGATGCAGACCGAGACCCGAAACCATCAATGTTTAGATGTCAATTGAGCACTTCTATCAACGTGAAGCAGGCTTGCATATAGAAGCCCCCACATGTGATCGATTTCATCAGAAGACGAGTACGATCACCACTATGTGCTGAGGAGAATGGAGGATTTGCTCCACTGTCACATCGTGAAGTCTCATCTCGACTGGTAACACCGGAGTCCTCCAGCTATATGAAGGGCAATATTATATCATACAGATGCAATTCGAACGAAGGAACAACAGTTGTAACCGTCGCACAAATGTACTTTATCCCTTACTACGAGACTGTCGGTCCCGACTATGCAGCCCAGCAAATTTGCCCGGCCCCCTCTCCGCCGAAAGTAAGGAGGTAATGCAACGTGCCCGGTGACCAAAAATCCCACGATAGAAAAATGACAAGTCCTGAAGCCATTCATAATACCCTCCATCAAGTCAAAACACCATACCAATGGGGCACCGATCCTACGATCCACCCGACCCGGTTCGCAATCGCGCCCGAACCAGATAGCTCGCAGCAGGAACAACCGCACCAGTAGAGTGCCCTGGAGGCCGGTCCGGGCCTCAAAGCGGTCGCACAGCATGAAAGCCCCTCGAGACAAAAAGGAAAAAAGCTTGGCCATGGAAGGAAAAAAGGGTCACCTTCTCAGCCAGGGAGCCGAGTCAACCACTGCCTCCATTGCTACCATTGCCGCTGCCGCTGCCGCCGCTACCACCGTTGCCATTACCACCCTCGTCTTACACACATATACTCGCACACATCAATCCTACCCATCGTGTTCCCCCAGCGGCCGCTTGCCCGCGTACATGAAGACGTAACCAGCCGAGACCGCCCAGCCGACCGGAGCGCAGATGAGCGCCCCCACCGGTGGGAGATATATAGCTTTTGCGCACTTTCGCATGTCACGCAGCGCATGTGAGTGCGATATAGACAGGGAGGGGGAAGCGTCGAGGAGGGCAAGAGGACGCGAATGGCCCGCCCTCCCCGGAATTAGGATCAGAAACAGAAAGAGAAACAAAAAAGAGAAGAAGGGAAAAAGCAAATCCGCGGCTGCCGCACCCGGGACACCGAGCTGAACAGCAGCAGGAACGGATGATCCCGAGCACGGACGCGCATCTCGAGTATCTATCGCAATCGTGAGAACACGAACTGCCCGCACTCCCGGTCCATTCCATACGCGAGAAAGCCCAGTCTCATGCCATCCCAAGTCCTTCACAACAACAACACAACCCCACAGGGCCAGCCCTCGAAAGCGGCCCCGCCCCTCTCTCCTGGGGCAGCACAGCATGACGCTTGTCAGTGCCATCACCACATCTGACAGGTCGACGGCGGAGCGGCTTTCCCCCTTCCCCCCCTTCCCTCCCGCCCTCGCATCCCGAGGGGCCGCGCATCGACGATGAAAGGAACGCCCATCCGATCTTCTCCTGCCGCGGCCTAGGGGAAAATTGAATGAAACATATAAGCCCTATCAAGAATCCCGCAGGAGGACGAACTCGCTAACTGCCGGAGGATACTTGAGCTTGGCGGCGCGAGGCACAGGTCGGGTTGTCAAGACCGTCGTGTCATCCAGATTAAGCACTCAAAAGCGTGTTGGCAATCCGGAGCGCATGACGAGAGACCGGGGCAGACCTACCCGTCTGCACATCACTCGATAGTCCCGATGCAAGACGAGAGACAGGCCGGCCTTCTCTCAAAGCCTAGATGGAAGCCGAGTGCCCCCCATCGAAGGCGCCACATGTGTGACCAGCGCCACCAGGCCGTGATGGTGGCTCACCGTGGAGGTAGTGCAGCATGCTTCCACATGTATCCAGGCAGGCAGGTTAATTACCACGTAGGATGACACACATATTGCCCGTCGTCAGACAGTAAGACGTCCAGTGACCAGCACCAGCAGCGCCACATAGAGGCAGCGGCAGCGGTAGTAGAGACTGTCATCCACTCTTCTCTTGCAGCTCAAGTGTCTCACCTTGAAGGCCTTCACATCGGCCGGCGACACACCTACATGTACCTTGTCAAGCAAGCACCCACAACTCATACCACCGCCGGCCGCGCACAACATGGGCCACAATGATCTCCAGGGGTAATCCCATCAAGGCGGGAGCGTTCACCCACACGATGCCTAGTCGTCAAGCAGCACAGGTGGCCCACATACACGTACATCAATGTACACACACAGCACGCGTGACGCAAACGGCTACTGCTTGTAGCAGAGAGCCGTTGCGGTGAACCGCCAAGGAAATCGAGGAACTGCCCACGACCACTCGGGGCGCAATAGTCCCGTTCCCAGAGATAAGGTAAGTGCCTGTGCTGTGTTGCGCTGCGCCGTCCTGCGCCGTCCTGCGCCGTGCCGTGCTTCACTCCCTCCTCTTCACTAAGAAAAACATACACAGCTACACACCCTGACCACAACGACAGTGCAGCCCGTGCCCGTACCACCCCAGCTCCATACCCGAGTCATGGCTGCGCATGCCTCCCTCTCGCTGCTAAAGTGCTCGCAGCAGCAGCAGTCACCCAAGGTGTGTGGGTCCCACTAGCATCCCTCCCTCCCGCGACGCTCCCAAGACACACGACACATGTCTTGGAGAAGCAGGCCCCTGGCGGGTGTGGAGAGGAGGGGAGGGGAGGGGAGGAGAGGAAACTTGGGGAAAGGAAAAGAAGTGGAGCACACGCAAGGCAAGGACCGCAAGGAAGGGAAGAGCTTTGGCCCACGTGCGCAGTGCCAACTCGGCCGGTATCAATGGGCGACATTGCACACCGTTCGTGTTGATGCTCGGCCGACCGATCGGGTTTCCCCCGTCAGACGGACGAAAGAACAAGAGAATGCGGGCTGCCTGCCAACATGTCCGTCGTCATGGCCGACGTATGACAAGCCCTTCTTTCTAGCATCGTCACAACAGGGACGAGCACGCCGGCTCCTGGGCAGGGAGAGGTATTCGCATTCGCCTTTGGGCTGGGGGATGGGGGATGATTCAAGGTGCGATCTTCGTAGGCTTCTTAGAACTACCCGCAGATGAGGATGCCGCAATCTGCCCCTCCGTCTACTGGCCTCGGCTGCTCCCCCCCGGCTCGCCCGCCTAGAAGTCCCCGATGACAAGACATAGATGAAGTAGACACCCAACAGGCCCAAGCTCGGTCCCATCGCGCTGGCGCAAGGGAGCCAGGGGAGTGACTTGTGTAGGGCAGCCCCACGTCTTTAATATTGACGGTGAAACATGGCGTATGCCAGAACCACACTTCATCATTCATCATCATCCTGCGCCCAGCAGCCGCAGGCGAAGGTGGTCATCGAGTCGCGACCCTTGCTGACCGCGCCTCGGTCCCAGTGACATGCGCAGGCATTGGATTGGGGGACAAGTACCGACCGTCTCAAAAAGCTTGAGACGCTTTCGTTCCGGTAATGGGCGTTTTAAAACCCAAAGCCGGAAGGGGGACAAGGCCTACCTAGATAGCAAAGCGTGCTAGGACTCGGAAGTGCGACTTAGAGAATTGGAGTGGGAGGTTGAGGAGGGGTAAGAGGGCTATCGCATCGTAGGTCGAGGTCACCAGGACGATCAGCCGGCGAATCGGCAGTGATGCCTTGGTGGGCGTTGAACACAGACGGATCGAACTCGTGAGCCGTCATCTCTTGGAGGTGGTCAGCGCCGCGAAGCAATGTATAGACGCCTGTTCTCACCGCCAACGCCGTCAGGAAGTGCCTGGAGGAATGATGTAGTCTATATGACCGAGTGA